GGGGGGGGTGTTGGAGGGTCCGTGTGCCTACCCGCCTCCCAGGACCCCAGCCGGCCAGTGTCTGCCTCCTTGGTTCCAGCATCCTTGCCCCGTATACCTGGTTCTCTGAAAGCATTAAAACCTGAAAAATCCACCGAGGGCTCCTGGACTCTCCTTATCCATCGGCCAGATCCATAGTGAACCTGTCCTGTGCCTGTGCGGCTAGTCCAGGTAAGGAAGGAAGGTCACTTCCTGGCAGACTCAGAAACCTTGTATTTTAGGAATCTTCTTGAGAACAGAGGAATTACGAGTTGCAGGTGCAATCTGCTGATAAGAGCTTGGCATGGCTCCTGAGCCTGGAGATACCATTAAGAATTCAACCTGAGATTCCTTATATGAAAAAAATTCAGCAGATCTTTGAAAGCATATATGTTAATTCCTGTTCTCACTGTGCTTCAGTAAAATGTCAGACAAACTTTATTGAAATCAGATTAATTTTACAATCAAATTGGTATTAAATTGTCTTGCTTGGGTAAAACGAGAGTGATTTGAAAGAGGGAAAAAAATGTTTGCACCTTTATAGATATCAAATTACAGTGAAGTTAATTGTTTTAAGGTTTTGCTACTGGTTAAACTGATCTGAGTTTGGAATTCTTCTAGTTTTCTCCGGTGTCTGACTGTGACTCTCCAGATGAGCACTTCATTTACAGGCCTCTCTTACACATCATCCCATGCTCCATTCAGGCAGTGCAGCCTACCTCAGTGGCCACAAGGGTTCAGCAAAGCCCCAAAAATGCCCATCTCAGCCCTGGCTTGCTTTCTTACTGATCTTATAAGCCCACAAATTCTGCTGCCTCTCCCGGCCTCACCCTCTCTCCCTCCCTCCCTCCACCCCTCCCATCCACCCCAATATTCTATCGTTTTAATTTTAATGATGCAGACACTGAGGTCTAAAATACCCAGTATCTTACCAAGACTTATGAAACAAGAAGTGACAAAACTGAGACATTTCCCGAAATGCTCTGTCTTCTTTTCTCAAGTAACATTGCATCTCTGACCACAGTTTTTGATTTAAAAGTCAGTCCAGGCCCTCCCTGGTGGCGCAGTGGGTTAAAGCACTACACTAAGAAGCTAAAGCCGCTTCCGCATGAGTTTGATTCCTATCTGCCCCGGAGGTGACCACATGGTGTGGCAGACCTCTCCTGACCCTCCCGCTGCTCCCCTCAGCAGTGTACTTTGTCAATCTGCCTGTTCTGCTCCCTGCTCCGTCTCTGGTGAAGCCTCTCACCCTCCGCATCTCTGGCCTGTACCCCAGTTCTGTACGAATAAATAAATAAATCTTAAAAAAAAAAAGTCCAAGATTAACTCTTGTTGTGGAAGCACACACTCACACCTGCACACACATAGTCACACACATGTGAAATGCTCTTGGCCAGGTAACAAGAGTAGGTCAGGCAGAGGCAGACTTGGCCCAGACAGTGTCTTAACTGATGTTGGTGAGACGCCAGCGCTGAGTACATGGGTAGCAAGTGACTAGTGGGTGTTGTGTACCAAAGAGCAGAAGCTTGAGGCCTAATGGAAGAACAGAGATGGCTTTCCACACCTCTCCTCCTTCCATGCTCCAGCTGTTGTTGAATATCTACTCTGTGCCATCTGCCATGAAGCAGCAGACTGGCAGTGCTGGTGCAGGGGGTGTGGTTCCGAGCAG